TCGATGCCACCCAGGCCACGGGTCGCGCCGATGTCCAGCACAGCCCAGATCCCGTCGCGCTCCAGCAGGTACACGTACTCGTCCAGCACCGACAAGATGAAACCATTGCGCGTGGCGCCGCTGCTCCCGCTCGCGTCGTTGCCGACCTTGCCACGGTCGGGGCAATCCCGAGCTCGATGACCGAACTGCCTGCAAACGATGCACTTCATCTTGGATAGGTCCCGAGAACCGTCGAAGCGAATACGGCGATCTTGTTGTCCACGACCACGGCCTTTACCAGGTCCCCGGGGTCGCCCTTCAGCGCGCGGCTTCGATGGCGGCGCTGGCCGCCCGTCGCCCCGCTGGACAACCAACGGGCAGTAGTCCCTCGCCACACGCACGTGTCGTAGGAGATCGCGAGCGCCCTTGAAGCTCCGGCCAGCTTGGCGAAACTGAGCGAACACCTCGATGTCCGCGTCCAAGTCGTGGGCCTCCACCTCGTCGTCCTCGTCGTCATAGATCTCCTCTGCTTCCCCACCAATCTCGTCCTCGTCCTCCTCGGCGTCGTTCTCGAACAGGGCTCTCTCGCGCTTCACCTTGCCGTCCAGCTCCGCCAGGGGTTCAGCTGGGAAGCGCGTGAGCAGCGTCTTGCAGGTCTTCGCAAAGTTGAAGTCCCCTCCAGCAGTCGCCGTCACTTCACCTCGAAGCACAAGAGTGAGCCTCGACTTCCTCCGGAACCACCAGGTGCGTAGCGGCTTGGCAATCACCTCCTTGACGTCCGGCTCGATCGCCTGGAGCTGCGTCAGCAACTCCCTCCTTCTTCTCGAACCGAGCCGCCCAGGTCCTGGAACGTCTCGCCGGAGTTGCGGCCACTCTTCAGGAAGAACTCCTCGGCCAGCAAGCCCGTGTCGTTGAGGCTGGTGTAGTCCAGCTTCTCCAGCACGTAGTCGAACACATTCTCCCAGCCGACCAGCTTTCCGTGTTCATTCACCTCGTCCACGTCGTTGATCGACGGGCAGCTCTCCACAACGTTTCGAAACCGCGGCTCAAGCGCCCTGACCAACTGTGGTCCGCAGACGTAGCGACCATTCACCCTGATGCTCTTCGCGAACATGGACACCTCGAAGCGGTAGCTCGACAGCTTGTCTGCCTCACCGTTCCAAGATGGTACTTCCATTCTGGCCGGCACCGTCGTTCCTGATGCCGATGCCATCGTGACGAAACTGGTGGGAGCCTGTGGTGCGATTACTACAGGTTCCGCCACCAATCTGGAACCCGAAGAGCCTCATGAGGTCCCCGAAATTCTCGAACTCGTAACTTCGCTCCTCGGATCTCGCAAAACCTGTCGCAATTGATTTTCCTGAGAATCAAATCCTCAGCGATGTAGATGAGCACCTTCTGCTCTCCGAAAGCGATCGCGGTCCCGACGCGCGATCTGTGCAGCTGGAGTCAGCTGCGGTAGGTAAAACAAGCCCGCCCGCCCACACCTCTGAGCCACTGGGCGGCGGTGACAAAACACGGCAGAACATGACAGAGCAGAGCAGCAATATTAGATGAACAGAATGTGAAGCTGCTACTCTGCATTGCATTCAGAACCCTCCACCCCCCGCTCGGGGAGGTCTCGGAAGGATCGGCGCAGCTGCAGGTTCGGCGAGACGGACCAGTTGTTGACAGAAATGGTCCTTCCTTGCCAGAGGGGCCACAAGGGGGCCACGGAGGACCTGGCGGCCCCGGAAGGCCCTGAGCACAGCCTGGGAAAGAGTCCGAGCCCCCCCCCCACTCCCCGGAAACTACTTCCAGAAAGCTGGAACACACACACACACACACACACACACGCACACACACACGCACACACACACACACACACACGGCTTCGTTTCACATGCGAAGCATGCAGAGGCCACGCGCTGCAGACACGTGCGCAGAGCCGGCATACTCGTCCAGACGAGGGCCGAGGGCTGCAAGGCCAGCCAAGTCATGCGGCTCGCCCTGGAATGCCTGAGTCCGCCACTGTGCCCCCTGGCACATCGAGGCGTGGAAGAATGCAAAAGGCTGCCTGGCAGGGCTTTTGTATGCAGTAATCTAAGAAGGGAGGCCCCCCCCTCTATTAGCTCACTCTTGCATGCATCCCCCCCACTCACCAAGACAACTTTCCTCGCACCCGCTCGAGGATGGTGCACTTCCAGCATGGCAGCTAATGCCTCACCCCCCTTTCAACGTGTGCTCACTCGAGGATGGTGCACTTTCCGCACGGCAGCCAATGCCTGAACTCTCATTCCATGCGCCCCCGCTCGAGGACTGCGCACTCCATCCATGGCTACTACCACCTGGACCCTCAAGATGCCTCAAACGAAGACCTTTAACAGGGTCCGAAGAAGCCAACATTATTGATTTCCACAAGGTTTCTGACTGATTTTCGCAATCTCGCATTTTCAGGCTACCGTCAGCTAAAGACGGCCCAATAGGATTCCACGATGGCTCAAGAGGCATCCAAGACGGCCCCCAGACGGCCCGAGAGGGCCTCCCGTAAGACTCAAGACGGCCTTAGAAGGCCCTTCGACGGCCCAAGACTGCACCAAGACAGCCCCACGACGGCCCCCAGACACCCTCCATACGGCCAAGAGACAGCCCCAAGACGGCCCAAACGAATTGAACCATCATCATCATCATCATCATCATCATCATCGTCATCATCATCATCACCATCAACAACAACATCAGCGTAATCATCATCGTCATCCCAAAATTACCATCAACATCATCATCAGCAGCATAATCATCGCCATCACCATCACCATCACAATCTGCATCATCATAGTCATCACCATCATCACAATCAGCATCATCATCATTATCACCATCACCATCACCATCACCATAACCATCACCATCACGACCACAACCACCATACGTTTTAGAATTTGCATTACCATCAGCATAAACATCAGCACCAGCATCAGCATCAACATCAGCATAATCATCACCATCATCATCATAATCAACATCATCATCATCAACACCCCCGTCGCCGATATAGCCAGCATCGGAATCATCGCAAGCACCCTCATCATCATGATCATCATCATCAGTATCACCAGTATCACCATTACCGCCACCAGCATTAACATCATCACCATCAGGTTCAGCATCAGCATCATCAGTATAACCAGCATCACAACCACCATCAACAGCATGACCACTAGTATAATCATCATCACCAGCATGGTCGGTATCATCAGCATCATCATCAGCATGATCAGTATCAGCATCATCATCACCGTCGCCAGCATCATTGTCAGCATCACCATCATCACCTCATCATCATCATCATCATCATCATCATCATCATCATCGTCATCATCATCATCATCGCCACCTCCTGCATATGAATCATACTCTTCATGATCATCGTACCTATCAGCGTCGCAATCGGCATCGTCAACGTCACCATCGTCATCATCACCATCATCACCATCATCATCAGCATCATCACCACCATCGTCATCATCAGCATCAGCAACATCATCACCAACACTAGTGTCATCATCATCATCAGAGTGAAGGGGCCGAACGGTCATTCGTTGTCCCTGGGTGCGTGGCTGAAGTGGGGATCCGTGGTGATAATTCTGCGTATTGCGCTGTTGTTGTTGTGGTTGTTGTTGTGGTTGTTGTTTGCTGTCGTCGTCCCACCCGCGACCCACCCCGCGTGCCACCCCGCGACCCACCCCGCAATCCACCCCGCAATCCACCCCGCGACCCACCCCGCGACCCACCCGCGACCCAACCCGCAACCCACCCGCGACCCACCCCGCGTGCCGCCCGCGACCTACCCGCGACCCACCCCGCGACCCACCCCGCGACCCAACCCCGCGACCCACCCCGCGACCCATCCGCGACCTACCCGCGACCCACCCGCGACCCACTTGCGACCCACCCACGACCCATCCGCGACCCACCCGCGACCCACTCGCAAACTGTCGACGTCCCCACCGCCCCCCTCACTCTTGTCCGCATCTGCGGAGTGCAAGCTCACCACCACCATCATTATCACCACCATGATCACCATCACCAACATAAACATCATGAACATCACAATCATCACCACCATCAAGCGTCATCATCATCATCATCATCATCATCATCATCATCATCATCATCATCATCATCATCATCATCGTCATCATCATCATCATCATCGTCGTCGACATCATCATCATCAACATTATCATCATCATCATCATCAGCATCATCATCATGGTCATACTCATCATCATAATCATCATCATCATCATCATCATCATCATCATCATCATCATCATCATCATCGCCATCACCATCATCACCATCACCATCATCATCAACATGATCATCATCATCACCAGCATCATCATCACCAGCATCATCATCATCATCAGCAGCATCATCACCATCATCAGCAGCATCATCACCATCATCATCATCAACATGAGCATCATCATCCTCACCATCATCATCATCACCAGCATCATCATCATCAGCAGCATCATCACCATCATCGGCATCATCATCAGCATCGTCATCATCAGCATCGTCAGCATCGTCATTCTCATCACCACCCTCAACATCATGATAACCACCATCGACCATCACACGTATCAGACACGAGGTGTTACGCGTGACGGCCGCCCAGGACCCCATCGAACAGCCACCACCCAGAAGGGTGGGCTGGCACAGTGGAGGGACTTGCCGCAGGCAGCTGGAGATGGATCTGCGGGCATCTCTTGGGGGACAACTGCTGTTTCCGACGCCCTCCTCCGACCTTCCGCCCGCGGAGCCACCCTCTCTCTGCCACCGCTGGCCTCCCTCGGCCTCCTCCGCCGAGGAAGAGAAACGAACACCCCAATCCCTCGAAAGGCGAGGCCCCTCTCTGGAGCACGACCCAGCTTCCTGCTCCCGCCGACTCCCGACAGGGGCCCAGCGACCTCCTCCTCCTCCTCCTCCTCCTCCTCATCCTCCTCCTCCTCCTCCTCCTCCGTCGGGGCCTCCTCTGGCCCGCGGGTCTTCCGACGCCGCCCTCTTGATGCGGGCGTCGGGGGGGCCGTCCTCGCGAGGAGGGGCCACGCGAACCCTCGCCGTCGTCGCTGGTCGCCTCCGCCGTCGACGGAGCCAGCCCCGAGGAGGTCCCCTAGGTCCTCCGCAAGGAGGGGGAGGCGAGGGGGCGAAGAGGGGGGGGGGATCAGCCCGTGATGACGCGACGAAGCCTGCTCCCCCCCAAGAAATCTGTCACGACGGAAAAGGAGCTTGAGAAAAACAGACCACCACCACCGCCCCGAAAGCGGCCCTTCTGCCTGAAGGGTCCCGACAATCTGGGCGCGAACGGGCCACGTCACAGCCTCTTGGCGGCTCCCCTTCGGGATGCCCCAATGCCATACCCGCTACATCGCGATGGCTACGGAAGTGTAAACGAGAGGGCACGTCAACCCACCCAAAACTGCAATTGTGCCTGAGAGGTCCCAGCAATCTGGGTGCGGACGGGCCCGCGACATGCCCACTGGCGGCTACCCCTCGGTATGGCCAAAGGCCATGCCTCCTACATCGCGATGGTCACGCGGCCTTGCAACAAAAACCATATGTTGGTCCGCGGCCGTGGGATGATCGCACCGTGGCCGAAGCGGCAACACTCCGAAAAGGGATACGTCCCATTCAGAAAACAACCATTCTGCCTTGGCGCGGTGGGCGCATGCGAGCGCAGGCATGTGGGCGTCCGGTGGAGTTCCCAATGGGGCAACAACGCGTGTGTGGGGTGTGCCAAAATCGGTGCGGTGGGCGCATGCGAGCGCTGGCATCTGGGCCTGTAGTGGAGCCCCCATTTATGGGGCCACAAAGCGTGTGAGGGGTGTGCCAAAATGAGTGCGGTGGCCGCATGCGAGCGCTGGCATGTGGGCATTCGGTGGAGCTCCCTGTCAAGCCACGAAACGCGTGAGGGGAGTTCGGGTGCGGTGGGCGTATGCGAGCGCTGGCATCTGGGCCTTTGGTGGGGCTCCTATGGGGCCACGAAGCGTGCGAGAGGTGTCCCAAAATGGGTGCGGTGGCCGTATGCGAGCGCCGGCACCTGGGTCTTTGGTGGAGCTCCCTATGGGGCCACAAAATGTGAGATGGGTGTGCCATACTGCAAAAAAATTGAGAGGTGTGCCAAAATGGGTGCGGTGGGCGCATGCGAGCGCTGGCGCATTCGGTGGGGCTCCCAATGGGGCCACAAAAGGTGTGATGGGTGTGCCAAAATGGATGCGGAGGGCGCATGCGAGCGCTGGCATCTGGGCCTTTGGTGGAACTCCCTGTGGGACCACGAAACGTCTGCGGGGTGTGCCAAAGTGGGGGAGGAGAGGAGGAGGGGCAGGATGGGAGAAGCGAGGAGGGCAGCAGGAGTGAGGACGCGGGGTGCTGTCTCTTCAAAACGAGGACCCAACACCACAGGATGGTTGGGAACAAACGCGGTGACGTACCCAACCCCTTTCTAAACACATGGCTTTGTGTACCAAAACCATCGCGCGCGTGGCGCGCGCTCACGCTCTAGCTAGGCTCGACAGGCTAACGCATGGAATGTCAATTGTTAAAGTGCTTTATGCATCTAAGGACCTTCTTGGAGTCCCTGCGCAAACCTCGGAAGCGTATGGAACTGGAAATGCGGAAACCACAGACTCAGCAATTTCCTTAAGGTGTTCGATGGATTGGGGCCCTAGAAGGCTGCCTGGGATATTTCTTCGGTGGTGACGGGGGCCTTAATTTTGTCTGGTGGGCAAAAATGAGCAGGGGGTAAGTTTGAGAAAAAAAGGGAGTATTGGAATTCCTTTTAAAAAACGCCATGTCTGGGCCGTGGGTCAGAAGTTTCCTGGATACAAGCCGTGGACTGTTGGGACGCCTCTGGGGGCCTTTTGGGCGGCGTCTTGGGAGTTATATTTCGGAGCCTCGTGGGAAGCTCTTGGTGCCTCCTGGGAACCTACTGGGAGTATCTGAAAGCATCCGGGGGGCGCCTCGAGAGCCTTTGCGAGAACCTTGGAGCCATCGCGTGGCAAAGCGCAAACCTTTCCCCGGAGTCTTACGGGAGTCTCCGCAGGTACCCGGGGGGCGCCTCGAGAACCTCTGGGAGAACCTTGGGGCCACCTTGGGGCAAAGCGCTCGTAAGGCTTCCGGAGGTCCCCTCTTTTGTCTCTTTCTTGGCGCGCGCGCGCTGACGTTCTAGCTAAGCTGGACAGGTGCACTCATGGGGGCTCGACTTTTACGGTAATTTCAGGGGCAGCCAAGAGGACACGAAAACGAACCAAAAGAGTGCCAAGACAGCGTCAGAGAGTTCAACTGTACTCCTGAACAAAATTTGCAACGCGACCCCGAAGTCTTGATGGGGCTCGGGATGCACTTGAGCAAAAGATAATCACTGGATTTTGTATTTTTTCAAGTGGGGCCTCCTAACATGTAGTGCGCAGGAACTGGGGGGAGAGGGGGCTAAGAGGCGTGCAAGGGGCTCTTGGGAGGCAGTTTGGAGCCGCTGGGGGACTGTTTGGGGGCCTTTGGGGGCCACACATTTGGGCCTCTTCGGGACCTCGTGGGGGCCTCTTCAGGCTCTTTGGGGGACTCTTGGAGCCTCCTGGGGGCCTCTTGGAGCGGAAAGCCGGGATTGTCGATTTGCGTTCCCCAGCGGTTTTTCGGGCCATCTTGAGGCTCTCTTGGGCTGCCTCGGGGCGCTCTTGGGCCGTCTTGAGGCAGTCTTGGGCCGTCTTGGAGCCGTCTTGGGGGCTCTCATGGGAGGTCTTGGGGGAGTCTTGGGGGCCTGTTCGGCCGTCTTGGAGCGTTGGAGGCTCGAAAGCGCGAGAAGGCTGAACAAAAATATGAACATCTACGATTTGGGCCCTCTTCGGGCGCTCCCAGGACGCCTTTCGGAGCTTTGTTGGGGCCTCTTGGAGGCCTCCTGGGAGCCTGGAGAGCCGTCGGAACTCTGTCTTGGGTTGCTTGGGAGCGTCTTGGGCCGTCCTTTCGCGTTTTGCGTCTTGGACCGGCCTGGGGCGTTTTAGGGTATCCCTGGGAGGCTCGAGGGCGCGGTACCGGCAATTGTCCCTAGATGTTCCGGAGGTGGGGGACGCTCCTGGGGGGGGCGTATTAGTGTAACTAGATCAAAGATATGTATATATATATATATATACATACATACATACACACACACATACATACATACATACATACATACATACATACATACATACATACATACATACATACGTACGTACATACATACATACATACATACATACATACATACATACATACATACATACATAAAAACATGCGCATATCTATATGTGAGTATGTGTGTCTATATATATATACATATATATATATATATATATACACAGGACCGTTCACTACAAACAAATAAGTTGAAGAACCCGCAGCGCGCATGAACTCCCAGAAGTACGCAAGAACGCATGCAGGAACAATGCAGGATGACGATTAATATAAAGGGGGGACGATTCAACAAATAGCTTCTTTGATTTTTAATCGATTGTTCAACGGGAGGAGGACGATTAAAACATGTGCCTATTACACGCATCGGGAGCTCAACCGAAGGCCACAGTGGCAAGGTCCGCACGTCGATATGCACAGCTGCACATAATTGGATCTTGCAACTCCTTATCCTCCATCTGCTCTTACAGCTCGTGGCAACCACAGATCCGACCCGCTCGTCGTTGCAACTGCATCCCGCTGCTGTTGCCCCCGCTCCCTTCTCCTTGACCCCCTCCCTCCTAACCCTCCGCTGCGGCTCCGTCCGGCCCGTCGGCTGTCCGGGCGCGCGCCCGAGGACGGCAGGGGGGGAACGATTAAAAAAATAGTTTCCCAGCCCGCGGCCCGTTTTTTCTAATCATCCTCCGGGGCGCCGCCGACGCAACGCGACCCCCGGTCATTTATGAATCGTCACCCTGCATTATGCCAGACAGAGACAGAGAAAGAAACATACATAGGGGTGTGAAGAAGGGACATACGTGTTCAGTAACAGCAGCAACGCCGAGTGCTACATACGCGGGGAAGATCAGCGCCATGCGCTCGCTCTATAGCAGAACATCGCGCCGCGCTGAGCGAGGAAAGCGCGGGGGTTGGCATCGCAGCCGCAGCTGACGATGGGAGGTCACGCGGACAAAGAAACAGCGCCATGCGCTGCGTGACGGGACAGCGCCGCGCGCTATGGGAACCACTGCCATCTTGGATGTGAGTACTTGACGCTACATGCATTTCTCGTTGCGACTTTCCTGGAACCCACGAAAGGGTCGCATGTTGCGCACTTCGCATCCCCCCAGCGAGCCGCGGGGTCCCAACTGGATCCCCGTACAATTCCACTCCGCGCGACCTCCCAGGAGCCAATGAAAGCGGCGACACTTGAGCACTGCGCAAGCCCCCAGGAAGCCGCTCGGTCCCGACTGGATCTCCCGTTCAACTCCGCTCCGCGCGACCTCCCACACACACACACACACACACAAAGACGCGCCTGGACAGCGCATCGGCAAGAATGGCAGGGTGAAACACATGTGCAACACAACGCTTCGAATAATTAACGTGCAAAGCGCGCCCCTGCGGTGCCTCGGAGAACGTACGCTGAGTGCTTTGGCCCGGCGTAGCGCGGGGGTCTGCTACAGTGCGCGGGGGAAGGAGAAGGGAGGAAGAGAAGCAGGGGCAGGAAGGGGAGGGGAAGCGGGAGCACGAGCAGAATCACGATGCACAACAATAGTCTGCAACGGCTGCGTGCCATTGCCCTGGCGTTCCACGCAGTAAGTCTTGCAGTCTGCCCGGGTGTTTTTTTGCAACGGCTAGGGCTTGGGCATGCATGTAGGCATGTAGGCGTTCCACTGTAAACGCGGGCGCTCTCTGAGGCGCGGCGTGCCCCCAATCCTGGGCAAGACGTTGAGAACTTCGCAGCCCCCCAGGGAGCCGCGAGGTCCCAACTGGGTCCCCGTGGAATTCCACTCCGCGCGACCTTCCAGGAGCCCACGAAAGCGGCGACAGTTGCGCACTTCGCAGCTCCTACGGCAGCCGCGAGGTCCCAACTCGGTCTGCGTACC